TGCTCTAGACACCCAATACTTTTCATACTCAAGTCATTATGTCTCATTCTCTTTATATTAAAAAACTAAAACCATACACTGCTTGCATCAATCCAAAAATTAAAGTTACATAACACCAAAAAAAACCATTTGCTCACTCGATGAAACCATATATGAAAAAAAAATATCGTTCACTAAATGCTAAAATCAAACGTGTCACTCAAATTCATCAGTAATGAATTCAAAAATTGTATCGTACAATCCAAAATAAAAATATCCAAATTTTAAAGAAAACAAATTAGTTATCATGATCAAATTATTTTTTTGCACTAAACACAAAACTGTCTAGGGGAAAGTAAACACTGTGATCAAAATAGTTACCACTAACAATTATGAAATTTTATATTTCTGGTCCATGCGACTTTGATAAACAAAGAGACCACAAAATGGTGTTCAATACCATAGAAAAAGTACACGTGAATGCAATTTCAATTAGTTAACACTAAATCATTACAAAACGGGATGATATTCAAAATCTACATATGATTCATTCATAATCAACTATGCAAGCAGACCTTTTAAGCTATCAAAATTTGATATTTTAACTCATCCTAGTGCTTATAGTTATTGCAGAGTATAATCCATGGCTATTTCGAAAAATTAGTTGCAAACATAACTTCAATTGTGATTTTCAAACTAATACAATCCTATCTTATAAAAGGGACAAATCCAACTTGCAGAACACTGCCAAAATATCACCCAAATCGAACCCCTAAGCAATAAAAAATACACGTCCAAAATCAAATCTTTCCATTAATACATAACAAATGCATTGTTGAATATTTACAATAGGAAAAAAAGAACAATACCTTCTAGCGTATTAGTTTAGAAGATACCATCCACGACTTCAACCACATCAGCCGTATTCATCTAAAAAATCATGTCAAAGCAATCATTTCAAAACTGACAAACACTCCATCCATAAATTGAATAGGCTATAAACTAATTGAAACAACTATTTGCAAAAAATGGTAAAAATGAGTTGTATTGTGACAACGATAAAATTAAATAAGTCCCCAGTATTTTTTTTTTTTGAAAAATTTGGAATGATTTTTGGAAAACCTGTAACCCTAAGATGTGAAAAATAAAAGGCACCAGTATGTAGAATTAAATGCGTAACAGAAATCCCAGTTGAATAAGTTTAAAACTAATTAAACATCAAACCCTAACGCTAAAGAAGTTTAAATATATACCTTTCGACAACCAATAGAGACCCATCGCTCTAAATGATGACAGGTTGCGACATAGTAACGATTTTTCCTTTATTTCACAGTCGATGTGAAAGTTGAAATCGGGTCTTTAATAAAAAAAAAAAAAATTCTTGTGACTAACTGAGAAAATAAAAATTCTAATTGGCATACAAACTAAAATTTGATTTCTAAATTGCAAGAAAAAATTAGAAAAAAATCTCAACTGAAATTGATTCCTGAATTGCAAGAAATCTATCCAAAGATCAAACCTTAATTCTAAAGAAGTTTAAACACATACCTTTCGGCAACCAATAGAGACCTATCACTCTAAACGATGTAGGGTTGTGGCATAGCAACTATTTTTACTTGATTCCGCAGTCGATGTCGATGTCAAAAACGGGTATTTCATAAAATAAAAAAAAAATTCCTGCGACTAACTGCAAAAATAAAATTTCTAATTGGCATATAAACTGATATTTGATTTCTAAATTGCAAGAAAAAATTGTAAAAAAATCTCAACCAAAATTGATTCCTGAATTGCAAGAAATCCATTCAGACTATGTACGTGACTAAGATTTGCATTTGTGTGGTGTGTATGCAAAGGGAATACGTGGGTGTGTAGACAGTCGAGTGATACAGAGGGAGAAAGAGAGGAGGGAAAAAGACGGAGAGAAAAAGAGATAGAGAGAGGGGTCCCTTACCCTTGGTTAGCAAAGGGGTCAAAGAAAAGAGATATAAACAAAAAAGGGAGTGAGACTGGGGGTTTCTAGGTTAGGGTTTTTCGGGGAGGGTTTGGGAAGGGGTTATTTATAGGTCGGGGGTGATAGAGATAAACAGAGAGAGATAAAAACAAAAGCGAAGAGAGTAAGAGCACGAAACCTGGTGGAAATGGCAGGCAGCGGTGGGGGAGGTGGGATGTCACTGGTAAAGAGAGAGTGAGAGGGTGAGAGACAGATGTTGGGGGTGGGTGTATATAGTTTAACGGATAGACTGAGATAAGAGGGGAGGATAAGAAAGATGGGGAAGATATAGTCGTGATAGATTGGGAGAGGGAGGCAAAAGTGATAGAGAGAGGAATGAGAGAGATAGAGGCAGAAATGAGAGGGAGAGGCGTGAGACAGAGGCTGTGTTGGGTGGAAAAGAAAAATATAGTACTCATTGTTGACCGTTAGATCATAATTTTTTCCTTCATTTCTTTGATTATATCTCTTAAAATCTATGTCTATTAATTAATATATTAAAATATGTAATCTGATAAAATTTTCTCGACATATGTGTATTATCGTGTATAAATAATGTTTAAAATAAAAATCATATTAAGCTATAAATTAATTAAATATTAAAATAATTGGGCATGTGATAGAAATGAGTGATGTGATATTTTTAAGGGAGAAATGTGTAGGGAATAAAATTCAACTTGTGAGCTATCTTATATATATATATAGAGAGAGATATATATATATATATAGAGATAGAGGAGATGAGATAGTGTATTTAAAACTTCTAAGAGATAAGAGAGAGAGTTATATGAGAGATAGGAGAGTTATATCTAATTATGACCGCCGAATCAGTATTTATGAGATGATCTGAACCGTCTTTTATGTTGAGATTATATTATCTGTTGGATATGTTTATGTTTTGTCTCAAAACGATCTGAACCTCTTTTTGTTTTTTGGATTCAAACTTCATTTTATATATATATATAGAGAGAGAGAGAGAAAGAGAGAGGGGGAGAAAGAAAGGAGATAAGATAGTATGTTTAAAATGTTTAAGAGATAAGAGAGAGAGAGAGAGTTATATGAGAGATAAGTGTGTTAGAATTAAATCCAATTATAATCATCGGATCATAATTTTTGAGATGATGTGAACCGTCTTTTATGTTAAGATTACAGTATTTGTTGGATATGTTTATATTTTGTCTCAAAATGATCTGGACCTCTTTTTATCTTTTGAATTCAAACTTTGTTATACTTTATTTTATATATATATATATATAAGTATTAGTAATTTATTTAGCCAGCCTTTGACTAAACCCAAGTTTACCATAATCGTTGGATCATAATTTTTGAGATGATCTGAACCGTCTTTTATAGTAAGATAACATTATCTGTTTAATATGTTTATATTTTATCTCAAAACGATCTGAATTTTTTTTTGTCTTTTGAATTTAAATTTCGTTCTATTTTATTATATCAATATATATATAAACGTATAAGTAGTTTATTTAGCCGGCCTTCGACTAAACCCAAGTTTACCATACTACAGTTGACTCACTTGCAAGCAAGCAAGTTTTCCTCTCTCTCTGTAAAATTTAATTAAAAAAAAAAAATCAAGTGATTACCAAAGTCGGTAAAAAGTAATAACTCTGTCGAATGATTGACATAAACATGAGCTGGTTGAGATTTTGATCAGCTTTATCAGGGCCCATCTGACAATGTGTCAGTGTGGTTTTAAAAAAATTATTTTTATAATATAATATTTTTATTTTTATTTGATAAAAATATAATATGTATGAAATTTTATATTATATTAATGATTATAAATAAATTATTTTAAAATTAATGACCAAGATAAATGAAAATAAGGTGATATAAACCTCTTCTATCTAACCCAGTTAATTTAGGAATTTCAATTCAATGGTTTTATATTATATTTGAATTATATCATGTTCAAATTATAAAATTTTAATTTATTTTGTATTTTATATATTCATGTAATTGAGAATTAAAGACTGCATGAAATAGTATAATTTTTTTCCATTTAAACCCATACTACATAGATTTTCAGAAACTAAAAAATCTCTTGATCGAAAGTCTAGCCCCACCTAATAAAGTAATTCCAATTAATTATTAATTCTTACCATAGAAAATAGTGATATTAAATTAGTACACACCGACACATGTTGACTAAGTATAATAATTTTACTTCCCAACATTCACAAATCTACCTATGCTCTCAAACATGTTGGCTTAATTAGATGACGAGTAAAAAACATGTAAATTCACACATGGTCTATTTAATAAATAGGTGAAAAACTTTAATACGAACACAAATCATTTAATAAATGGATAACACGACACGATTTATTTAATCTACTTAATTTTAATTTATTATTAGTTTATTTTATATATATATTATGTGGTTGTCACTAAAAAAACATTTGTTTAATTTTTTAAAATAATTATTAATTTATTATTATATTAATTTTATTTAAACTGGTGATAAATAGATTGACATAACTCACTCGAATACGACCCGTTTATTAAATTTGTCTAATGGATCAACACGTTTATCATCCGAACTCATTAAAGTCTCATACAAACTCGCTTAATTCGTATCGATTAATCGTATCGTATCAGACTTTGAGATATCTAAATCTATGTATAAGAACATTAACTTTCTATTATAGTGCTGAAAAGTCAAATTTTCTCTTTTTGTCCCTCACTTTTTAACTTATAGAGTCTCTAATCACCATAAAATATTGAATGTAACACTTACACCATATTAATAATATTACATAATAGTGTCATTTAGTAATAAGTCACCAAATATATAAGTGAATTTTATAAAATTTAATAACTATCCAATTCATAGAAAATAATAAAATACCTATCAAAAAAGTAAGGTATATTTTTGTTGTTTTATCATAAAAAATAATTATATCACGTAATAATAAAATGATTGAATTATATTTTTACTCACTCTAACGACAAGTTTTGGCGGCTTTTGCAATTCCTTTATTCCAATTTTCAACGAATTCATTCATTATTTATGGTTGCTTACAATTATATGTGGAATATATATATAAGTATCTTCCTCTGCATTGTTCTGTACCTTGTCCATTCATTTTTCTTGTATAATTCATCTCTCTCTCCCTCGCCTTCTTCCAGTCTTCTCCAGAAGAAAAGATAGAGGGGGAGAGGAAAAAAAAAGTCTGCAATTTGGGTTCCTTTTCCTTGGTTTTGATCTGTTTTGACATTTGTATTCTCTGTAAGTTTCATAGGATAAATTGGAGATTCTTCGTTTTGGGTTCGTAAATTTTGCTCTATTCAATTTGGGTTTCAAGAGATCCGAGCTTTCTTGTCAGTTTCAACGATTTGAGAAAAATACAGCACACGAAGTTGGTGTCTTTCTTGTATTTGAATTCGGTCCGGCGATCTCTCACCGATTTTTGCTAATTGAGGCAGGTGTTTTTTCAATTATCTCCGGCGACTGGCTTATTGTAAATGCTGAGGTTCTGAGGTTGAGTCTCTCAACTTCGCTTCAACTTGGCCTTTCGATTCCCACAGTTCAGTGCATTTTTCCGACGAGTAATCGAAGATGATGCGAATGAAGACTAAACCGACAAGACTGTCAACTATGAATGGCGGCGCCGACGGTGGAAAAAGCCGTGGCGGCGATAATGGTGGTGAGTGGGAGATGAGACCTGGAGGAATGCTGGTTCAGAAGCGAAATCCAGATTCAGATCATTACATTGTCCCTCCACCCACCATTAGAGTTCGGGTCAAATACGGGTCCATTTACCACGAAATCAATATCAGCTCTCAATCCTCCTTTGGTAAACAGCCCTCTTCATAACTCCTCCAATTTTCATTCAATTACTCAATACCCAACTCAGTAAACCCTTTCTCCTAATTTTTTCAACTCCATTATGTTAGTATTATTTTTTTGGTTGTGCTCTATCAGGGGTCATGTTTTTCGTTAAACCGTAAGAAAGTTTGTATCTTTATTCATGATTTGTTATATGGGATTGCAGGGGAGTTGAAGAAGATGTTAACAGGGCCAACTGGATTGCACCACCAAGATCAGAAATTGCTGTTCAAGGATAAAGAGAGAGACTCCAATTCATTTCTTGACATTGCTGGTGTGAAGGACAAATCCAAGATTGTGCTAGTTGAGGACCCAATAAGCAAAGAGAAACGGTACCTTGAGATGAGGAAGACAGCAAAGATGGAGAAGGCTGCAAAATCCATATCCGAGATTAGCTTGGAGGTTGATAGATTAGCAGGGCAGGTATGTTCCTTTTGGATGATCTAAATATAGGGTTCTAGGTTATTAAGATAATCAATTTGTTTTTTGGAGCTTAGTGAATTGACTTTTGATTAGTCCAATTGAAAATTGGTTATTGAATTGGAATTGTGTAGGTCTCGGCGCTTGAAACTGTAAGTTCTAGAGGTGGTGGGAAAGTGGTTGAGAATGATGTGTTGAATCTCACTGAGCTGTTGATGAATCAATTGCTTAAATTGGATGGCATTATTGCTGATGGAGATGTAAAATTGCAGAGGAAAATGCAGGTACGTTTTTTGCTTTTTTTTTTGAGTTGCATAGTGTTTCGATTAGTTCAAAATTTGATCATTTTTTCACTCATTATGAAGGTGAAAAGAGTGCAAAAGTATGTTGAAGCTCTGGATATGTTGAAGATCAGAAACACCATGCCAAGCAGCAATGGAAATGGGCATGCCCAATCACCAATTCAACAGCATCAACAAAGGTATTCAAATGGACAAAGGCACTCAAATGGGGATACCCCATCTCCAGTTCAACAGAAGCAACAAGCAAGGCACTCGTTCGGGCATTCGCAAGTAAAACTGCAGCAGCCACCACAAAGGCACTCGACGTCAGGGCCAGTAGTGATAACCACACAATGGGAGACTTTTGATTCCGTGCCAGTGCCATTGCCATTGCCGGCGCCCCCTTCAACATTTACAACCTCATCAACCACCAATTCAATACATCCTAAACTCAGTTGGGATTTGCTTTGAGTAAGTAGTAGACCTGTGTATCTGTTCTATTTGTGTGGATGTGTGTGTTTGATTTGTTCTCAAATCTCAGGTTGGTTTGGTACCCTATTCCCCATTCTTTGTTGTATCTATAGTTATGTTAGCATCCCCTTTATATGTCACTTCTCTTCAAAATAATTGGGGATATTACATTAGTGATTGATATTACCTGGTTTCTCTTCTCTGTCATTGCCTTTTCCAGTTTTGATGATACTGTTATATCTGTCTCTAGATTGTTACCTAAGAATTGGGAACTTTAGAAACCCATAAATCTGATTTGAAGAATGTTAGAATCCTTTTCCTTTTTCGCTGGTTAAAGCAGCAGGTCAATTCTGCTTTTTGGGTTTTTCTCAGTTTCCATAAAACTCTAGTGGTTCTGTAATGATGAGTGTGATCTTTATGTAATACCTTGCTTGTTTTGGCGGGTACAAAATGACAAAAGGAACATGAATGAAAAAAGAGTTTCGTACAAGTGAAATAACTAACCCATTCAATGACTCAAATGATAGAGAGGGATAGATCTGTTTAAAGTGGGGTGGTGCAGAAAATGATGGGAGTGGATTAGTTTAACAATTTCAGAGAACAGGTGTTTCTTTTGGATATGATTTGATTTGATTATCTTCATGATTTACTTTTTCCAAATATAGAAAATCTCTTATCTTTCTCACTTCTTATCAAGAGATGTGGGTGGCCACGTAGTTCATAGAGGTGGTAATGCACAGAGAAAATTTGATTCCCTTGAGTTTACCTTCACCTTCCAGTGAAGGTAAAGGTTTCATAATTTGGAGAAAGGCTGTGGAAGGCTGGGAACTAACTATTATATCAATCTGAATTTGCTCGGACCGTTTTAGACACAGATTTGTGAATCCGACAAAGAATTAGTAGATTGGGTTTGATGAGTTTACGTAGTAAATGAGTGAACATGTTACACCCGGTAAAAATAAGAGGATCAATAGGAATTCACTAAACAGTATTTATGTCTGGTATGAATACCATATAATACAAATGAATTAGATATGACTTGAATAAATTTTGACACGACGCACACGAGCCATTACCCATCGTGGTCTGAATCTTGTTACGCCATGGGGCCACACTTGGACAATTGACAACATATCCGGCCATTACCAATCGTGGTCTGATTCTTGTTACACCATGGGGCCACACTTTGACAATTGACAACATATCCTTCACTAGTTTCTTGTTCCAGCAAAATTCGGCACCTACGAAGATGATAACTTGGGGTAGTTGTGTCATTCTCCAAGTAATTAAATTCATGTTCTTCACGGACCAATGATACTTTGTGATCCGTTTAAAAGGCAATGAAAAGTTAGATAGCTCTTGAACCACTAGAGCTAGATGGGTCTGGAATAATATATGAATGTGTTGTTTATTCTTCCAAGTTGCTTTCTTCCATTTCTCCTCATAAAATCAAATTGTATATAAAAAATAAACGACAATGTTTTTTTAAGTGAATTCTTTTATCGAAAAATAAATTTCATAAAAAAAAAAAAAAAATGCTTCCATGCTAGACGATACGTAACCATATAGGTTAACGAAAACTTACAACAACCACCAACCTCGATCCCCCTAATGGAGTGCAAGAATAACACAAGATTGTTGGATACTCGGAACAAAAAAAGATGACTTTCTTTGAAAATCATGTGTTTTAACGCCAAAGTTCCATTCCAAAAAAGGTGGTGGTGAACTTTAATTGACCAAGGATTAAGAAAGGGAAAAGACAGCCAAAAAGGATGCAGCAGTTTGACGATCATAGCAATCAAGGATAAAAACAAAACATCAATAATTCTGCATAATCAACTATTAAACCAGCCACCAATTAACATGCAGGAAAAAAAGTCCCCGATGGACCTTTTATTTAGCAAATTGTCAGTGGATGCACAAAAGTACACAAATCAAAATTAGATTTGTCTAGAAATCACACCTGGATTTTAGATGTAACTTTAAGATAGAATTATCCAAGTGGAGAAACAAAAGTTCAGATATAATAGTAATTAGATTAATAAAAAATCTAAAACACATTACTACTTTGCTGAATAATTCGACTCAACAAATTTTTATCCTAATTATTTAAAGTCAATTACAAGAATTATGTTTCTCTGTTATACTTCATCAATGATTATATTTTCTGTTCCTCTGCCTCAATCATGGCATAGTAACACAGATTTGAAAAGAAATAAGAAATATGGGGAAAGTAGAGGGTATAAAAGTGGGACAAAAAATTCACAAAGATGTGAATGGGTCTGGGAATATGAGGGGTCATGGTACCCAGTGAGCCTATGGATTTGCATTTTAAGAAAAAACTAAAAGGCGAGTACGATCACTCTAAACAGTGTCAGTGTACACGATTAATCAAATAGATTGTGGGTTAATTGTCCTAATTCCCAATGTAAATATGAACCAACGAGACCCGATTGTCACCCCCTAAATATTCCAAATATTCATCTCCTGGTCTCTGCTCCATTTCCGATTTGGGTGGCAACAGATTTAATCACCCACTGGAACGCAAGGGCATAACAAGTACCCTGTACCTGCATCTATCACTCTGAAACAGCAGATGCACCAGGGAGATCCACTTCCTCGGTTGGCCGGGGCACCATGAAAAACTTACCAGTATGGCTTGAGCCCGTGATGGCAATTAAGCAATTGTAGGTAAACTTGACCTCAAAATGGCAGGTACTTACTTGCAAGGGACAACACGAAACCAACCGCCCAAGCAAATTTTGCTTGCATTGAAACACTGCACAACACCACGTCATCATATTTTGCAGTGAACTCGTAAAATAATACAAATCAATTGCAAATGTAGATACCAAAAAACGAAAAAAAATAAATTAATTGGCAAAATCCTAATTTCAAAGTCAAGCAAAAGTCACAGGGTCCATATATTTCTTACTTGTTCAGGACCAATGACCAAATCCATCACATTTGGAACATTGATTTCAAGCACAGTTACAACGAAACTAACAAGAGAGTAGAGACTAATAAGACGCACCATCAACAATTCAGAAGCTTTGTAATGGGTTTAATTCCATACTGACCGCAATAGAAAATTAGTAGACGGAAAGAAAACTACATCATATTACAAAGACAAATAAGCCAGATTTTCTGCTGATCATGATTGAGATCTCTCCCGCCCCAAGGGTGAACGACTGCATCATCAGTACAGAAGAATGTAAGTTTAACATCTACATAGAGAACTACTTCGAATTCAGAAAAATTTAAAACCACAATAGACATTTACGTAATGAGGAAATCTTTGATATTTCAGACGAAAAAATAAAAAATACAGACCTGCGGTATCGGTCATGCACGGGGCTTTCTGCTGGACCATAACCAGGACTGTCCCTCGGGTCAGCCTTAGAATTCAGGCTGGCACCGCGATGATAATCATCAAGGCTAGCCCTCTCCCTCCGAGGATTTGGGCTAGCCCCGCAGACATAATCAGGGCTAACCCTCTCCCCAGGGCTAGGTCCACGTCCGTTGTCAGAACTAGGCCTCCCTCTACGAGGACTTGGGGTGGGGCCACGGCCATAATCTCTCTCCCTTGCATTGGGACTTGGGCTAGGGCCACGACCATAATCAGGACTGGCCCGCTCTCTTCGATGGGGACTAGGGCTACGCCCACGTCCGCGGCCATAATCAGGACTCGCCCTCTCTCTTCCATAGGGACTTGAAGATCGTCCCCTGCCATAACCTCTCCTCCCAGGTGACCTATCACGATTTTTATCAGGGCTGCGTCCACTTCTCCTCTCATCATCATCTTTGATTGCATACTCCACTGAAATAACTCGATCCGTCATCTTGCTGCACACAAGGGAGGAGAACACAAATCATAGTAAGCTAGCAACTTATAAACAAACTGATTATACAGTAACGTAAACAATATCCACCAAAAACATCTTTTCAGCAAAATTAATAGCACCTTCAGGCATGAAAGATCTAAAATTGGATCATGAATATCTTGGCCACAACAGTAAAACAAAATTACAAAATCCCATCAAAGTAAATCTACCTCATGTCTGTAGCATCCAGAGCTTTAGTGGCATCCTCCTGTGTTTCAAACTGGATAAATGCAAAATTCTTTCTGATCCTTATGTTCATTATCTTTCCATAAGGATCAAAGTGCCTCTCCAAGTCCCTTTCCCTAGTATGATATGGATCAAAATTAATAACAAACAGAGTCTTTGACGGTTTCGAATTAGTTGAAGATCTTTTTGAACTCCCAGGCCTTCTGACACCACGCTCTTGCTGCAACACAAAAGGCTCAGCAATGCATTGTTGCAATAGAGTAAACAGAGAGCAGGCAAACAAAACCACAATGTCACTCATACCTTCGTCCACTCAACACGAAGCCGGCGACCCTTTCTTCCAAACTCTTTCCGGTCAAGTCCTCGAATTGCATCCTCTCCATCTCTCTCATCATCCATATAAACAAAAGCAAATCCTAAACCAGAAAAGTAAAAGCATCTAAATAAAAATGGTTTATTCCTCGCTGTTGTACGAAAGACAAAACTAAGTTGAGTATCCCCCTGTGAAAGGATTTTATCTTCATCTGAGATAACATTTTCCTTTTAAGTATATGCAAACCATCTACCATTCCACCCCAATAAAAATTGACCGCTCTGTGAAATCCAGAAACTAATGACCAGTAAAATCAGTAACAGACCTTGGGGGATGAACTAAGTGATGTCAAGGAACAAGAATCCAAAGGTGGATGTCTCATGGTGATAAAATGAAAAGAGAGTGCCTTCACCAATTATTCTGTCCATTTATTCTGCTGCCTCTGCTTTGAGGTCGGTATGGTTTCTAGCCTGTGTCATGTCTGAAAATGAGGGCTGGGCAAAATCGTGGGGGATGAAAGACATTAGTCTGAGGAAAATGAGTGATGGCGGTGCCAAAGTGGATCAGAATGGCTCTTCTTGGAAACAAGAAGTGGATGCACGGCACAGTCAGGAAATGGAATCCAGGACCCATCCATCAGCCAGGAATAATTGCATGGACATTCCAAAGAAATCCTGCGCCAAAGAATTAGTTGAGTATGGGGGTTTTACCCTTTAAAAAGCATATTCTTTTTTCTTAAACATATCCCAACACCCCTCTATAACTCAAGAAGGGAGGATTGTTGTTGCCACATTATGTGATCTGGAAGATGTTGCAGCCACACTGCACCAAAAGCCGTCCCTTTAGGACCAAATTTGCCCCCAGCTGAATGCTCCCGGCACTAAAGAATCCATGGACTGGTTGTGAAATGAATACATGATTTTGCACAACTTTTTAAATTTACAACATGCAATTAGGGAATATATGCATAAACAGGAAATTTTCATTTCTTCTCAAGAACATGACCTCAAACAAGTATATTATTTGCAATCTATCTGGAGGACAATGCATATTCTCCTCATAGGAGACTTTAAACCGCTTGTGCTAACATACGCATGCCACGTATCAAATTCCATATCAGGTTAACCTGAGCCACCAACGAAGATGTTCACATCAACAGCCCCTTACTTCTTGAACCTACTCTAGCAGTCACCAAACGGCTACCAGACACTGACGTTTTAGAGAGAAGATCCTTTCTCCCCAGTCCTCTCCAGTAGAATTCCATCAGAGTCCGAAATTTCCGGCTAATTGTGAATGCAGACTTATGCTTCAGTCGTATATGAAAATAGAGAAGCACTACTCCAGAAAGTTATTTTCCTTTAGATGTAAAAACTTTCACTGTTAACCGCATGTGTATGTATGTATGTGTGCATATATATAAGACTATTACTATAAATTACTTCACAAATCAAAGCCAAAATTGAGTGGAGTAAATAACTGCAACTTCAAAACAAAAATCAGCTTCTTCAAGCACAAACATTGAATAGTTTCACTTTCACGACTTAGGACCTAAGTAGAATAGTTTCCAACATTGAATGCATGACCATATGAAGAACCAGAACAAGAGACCAATAGATTACAACACAAACAGTTATTGGGGTTAAGAAAATGCCAATATCTACACATAAACAACAAGAGAAAGACAAAATGAAGAAAGGACAGGCTAAAATTACCAGACTTCATATCCACTCTATCAACCTTCCCATATCTCCTAAAAAGCCTCTCCAGATCAGATTGCCGTGCATCATAGTCGAAGTTTCCACAGAAAATGGGCTTCATTTCACCTAAAATATGAGACAACTTCTTCATAATCTTAATTCAGGGGAAGAAAGAGGAGAGTGAAAGTGGACACAGAGTTTCACAAGTTTGAGAAAAAATCATCCAGTGTATTGGCATAATATATACAGATCATTTAATCATATATCAACCAGCAACACACAGGATTGACATATCACTTAACCAAATTTCAAAAAGAAAACATTTCTTTCACAAAAAATAAGGAGGCCTTGTGAATTTCTCATTGCATGACTTTCCTTCAACACCAACAAAGCTGTAATATGTTAACAGATTTCTATTTCAGTTCCTAACAATATTTCAAACATCATTCCGAGGAATTCATACATCCACTTCAGTAAGTTATGACAAATAATACTATTATTGATTTAAAATACAAACATGGCCACTAAAACTAGTGTGACCAGTTCAAGAGACATATTTCAACATCTACAAACCTACCTTTTCAAAAACAGAGACATACTTCTTGATTTTCCTTTATTCCCCCAATTTTCCCAACAGCCACATCGAGAATCAAGATTAAATTAAGACTTCATCAACAGCTATATACAAACTATGCCTAAATCAGTCATATCTCTCCATAGCATCAGTACAACCATCAAAAATCATAAGTGAATCTAAAAAATATATATATAGAAAAAATAGCAAACTCTACACAACATAACACTTGAACAACATCTACAAAGATACAAAAATATACAAGAACAGGGCCTGAAAGTTAAGCTCAAAATGAAAACCCAAGACTCCCAAAACAGACCAAGTCAAAGAACAATCAGATCTAGCTGCCAATGTGTACGTTACATTAGATCGGAACCGTCCCGTTTGGAAGCTTATAAACGTGTACGACAATAAGCAAAATTTTCGAAACATCGAAACGTCAATCTAAACCTTGAGAGGGTCTTCAGATCTTGGTTACTTTCTCTAATTTTCACAGCAACCAAACAGACCTAATGAGATTATGCAGCAAAGTCTAGAAATTTAAGATGAATTACTTACCTTTGGAGATCGGTAACCCTAATCGCGACAATCGAGTTTGAAGGCGGCCGGTGAGAGAGAAACTGTCTTCTCAAACTGACCCCAAGCAGTCAATAAATAATTCAGAAAAGTTCTCAATATTTATTAATAAGCCCCTAAATCTTTATTAATTTGCAAACTATCTCCGATAATTAATATTTAAATAAAAATTTTGATTTGATACAACATGTTTCAATGAACAAATTTAAATTTAAAGGAATAGTAAAATATGAGATCTCAAAGGATAAAGAAATTTAATCGGTTATTTGAGTAAAAATTTGCGTCTATTTTGATTTGAACAAAAATTGAGTCTTTCTTAATTTACTGTGAATTTGAGTATAAAATTAAAGAAGATTTTTTTTTATTCGAATTTAAATTTGACTTTAAAAAAAAAAAGTAGGCTCTCACAAAGTAAAAAATAAAATAAAATAAAATGAATGCCCCCATAAGAGTTAAGGATTCGTTTGCTCTAGTTTTAAATTATAATTTGTACCCTTGAGTATATCCTTAATTTTTATTTGGTATTTGAAGTTCTAATCGTAACCACGAATCTTTAAAATTTTAATTGTGTTTCAATTTAGTCTTTATCTCAAAATTCACTAATTTATTATGACAAAATGACAAATGACAAATGACAAATGACTTGGGTAAAATAGTACATTTGTTTGGTCATAAATTTTTTACATGTGGGCTATAAAACTTCACTTTTTTATCATGTGATTTAGAGAAGAAAAAATAACAAACTCGAAAAAAAGAAAGAAATATAGAATAAAAATTTGAGAGATACTCTGAGATTGAGAGAAATACCACTATATTTGAGAGTTAAGACCCTTATGGACAAGTCATATGCGTCATTTTGACAGAATAAGTTAAATAAACTTGGACAAAATGACTGAATTAAAACTCAGTTAAAACTTTACGGGTGTAAATGTTTGCACTCAAACTTCATAGACCAAATATAAATTATGTATATACTTTTAAAGATAAAAATTATTAAATACCCTAAATTTAAATAAATTTGAAACAAAATTCACGTGTAAAAATGTTTAACTCATTTATTATAGTTGATTTTAAATAAGGTTTTGGTGAGTGAGTTCAAGTAACTTCACATTATTTTATAATAATTTGAAATATTAACTATATGGTCATTTGAATCTGAATCAAACTCACAAAATTAATAAACTCTAAAGTATACACTAGGGAGCCCATATAATCTGATTTGCTTTACGTCCCTAGCTAAAGTGCTAAATAAACCTTTGATTAGGGGTCACAGAGGTATTGTGTTGAGAGTTGATCCAGATAGTTAATTTTGATTTAAATAATTTATAACTATTGCTAGAAAAAATGATAAAATAATAAAAAAATTTAAGCATAACACGTTTTTATTAGATGAAAAGTAAAAGTACGATATCCAAAAGTGATATTTCGGTAATATAGTCTGAACCCATGGTGATATGATGGGTGAAACTAAAATGGATATCAAATCGAAGGCCAAAATGACTTATCATACACATTTATTCCCTATATCAAACAAGAAATTCAAGACAAGGAAGTGAGAATGGATAGGCTGAAATTACCCTTCTGGTTGATTATAATTCATACTAGGATGGCTTCTGAGGTTGATGAGACTTTGGGTTAACAGTAGGTTTTGAATTTGATTGTGTCTAATGTTAAGTCACATTGCTAATCCAACATTAATAGTTGCGATAGCTCAATAAAACACTTGCATATTTGTAGCATGTTGTTAGGATTATGTTGCCATTAAATCCCCTAAAGCCACATACAGAAGCGGCCCAAGATCCTTTCATTGCAGGGTCTGAGAAAATTAAATGTACGCGGTTTTACCCCACATGTAAAAAACCCTGTCAAATTCTTGACGTTCAATTTATAACAAAACTACTTTAGCATTCCGACAAGACCCATCCTATAGCCAACAAGGGAAAAGGAAAGCAAAAGCGGGGCTCGCTGGTAGGGGAGGGGGAGGACTCTGTCAATTGTCACACACCCTTTCATGCCACTGAATAAGTTCCAATTTCTTACCTCAAATACACATACAAAACCATTTAGCAAGCCAGTTGCCTAACAACAGAATGCCAAAAAATCCCACAGCAAAATTATTTAAACACTCAGTCAACTAAAGAACCCTCTCTAATTCCTATCCCGAACTGTAGTTTATACTAAATTAGGTCCAGAAGTTTTACACCATCTTGCTGGATTCATATATCTCGCAGATTATCATCACCTTCATATGGACCAGGGCCAAAAACTGAGTCCAGGAATTCTTCATCGTCACACTGCAACAAACCAAAACCAAATGTTCATACATTTCCAAGATTTTATAAAGAAAAAATCAAGTTAATTGACCTGGGAAACTAAAGCGCCATTAAGTAGAAGCAAGACATGCCTCACTGGGAGATAGATGACCTCCAGGATGGGTGTTAATCAGCTGATGGGTGCCATTGTCTTTGGTGTCAAGTCCAAGACCTCGTTTCTGAGCATAACACAATGAATAATTTGGGCATGACAATTTAGATAGAAAATCACAAGTCTAATGAAAGTCATACTAAGAACTCAAAACTAAAGTAGATGAACCCAAACATCTTTTAATATATGATGTGAATCTATTTAAATAAAAAATTAACTAAGCAAACATAGACTTGCCTGGGTAGGATTTTGATCAATCCATGGAAAATAGGCATTTGACTGATTCTCATTGCAGCAGAAGTTGGACACTCTCCATTCTTCATCACGCTGTTGCTGCACACAAGGCATCAAAATTAAGGTTTTGGGTAATTAGGCACGGGGAAAATTTGGACTTTGGTAGATTTTCTTTGGTGATTCATGGAAATCAGCAGGAAAAATGTCAGATAGAGAAAAGCATTTGAAAACTTTCACATGTATAAGTAGACAACTACACCTAGATAAATGAAGCATTCTATATGCAAGAATGCAAACAAGCAACTGAAAGTAGAACAAGCAAACGACGTGCCTGCTTGCTGGTCTGTTGGTTCAGTGCTAGTGGGTATTCTTTGAGAAAATATGAATCACGTGAGAATCCGGAATTTGATTCTTCTTCCCCATCTTGCCGCTTCACACAAGAATTGTGATTAAAATGACAAAAGGTAAAAAGCATGGATCTAGCAAAAGATCTTTACAATATCACATTATATGTGTGAAGAGAATCAAGCTTGGAAATAGTACCACTTTGCTCCTTGGAAATGGAGATTGAATGTTGACTTGATTCAAGAAGGTATCGCTGAGATCCCCATGGTCATATGGTTGCAAAAGAGAGTATTCATCAAAGTTAGAAGAATTATTCATTAAACCAAATGTACTATCACCTTGTCCTCCAGTCCCAAAACTGTTGGGTTGTGGTGGAATTGCGGCAGGCAGCTGTGGCACTGAAGAGCTTTCTCGTTGAATGGCCACAGTGAATGGTGATGGGAATTGTTTTGCAATTTTAAAGCTTGCTGAAGAAGATGCTCCCTTAACTAAATGCCCAGAAATACCACTTATTATCGGTGCAGCAATCATTTGGCCACATTGAATTTCATTAATCGAGCAATTGTTATCATTGAAAACATTGGATGCTTCAGCACACTCATCGACCATATGACCTGATCCAGCAAGATGTTCATCACTAAATATTTTATAATCAGTGCCACAGTAGCTCAGATTGTCGATCCAACTTGAATTTCCCCTGTTCCCATTTGCAAAAATATTGCTGGGGCCAGGAACTCCAAATGTAGTAAAGCAGTTGTTCGACATACCATTGTTGAGATTCTTTGGTGTGGCTTGTATAAGCGATGGGTACATTTGGATCGAATTGGTACCAGTAACGAGGCCACTTGAAGTACCTCCAGGTAACGAAAAACCTGATTGATAATTCTTTGGTTCCATTCTGAGACTCAAGTGGTTGGCCTGATAAAGAGGATTGGTATTGCCCATTATTGGTTTCAACAAATTCCCTTGGCTTCCTAATAGACGTGATTGTCCATATCCTAATCGAGTTATAGAGTTGCTGCACAAATCTTGCTGTTCAGGAAAAGATACGCCACCAAGGCTTGGATCATTAATCAGGACATTCCCCCCAAGTCTTCGTTGGGACAGTGAACTCTTTGGCTGCTGTTCTGGGTTTTGCTGACCTACTTGTCGGAATTTTTTCAGCATTATCGAAGGGTAGTGTGATGCAGTTGGTTGATAGCACCTGTCGCCCAAGCTTTTATCAGGAGAAAAGTGAAGTTTATAGCTTGCATCAGAAACTCGTTTTAAGAAGATCCGGTACTTCTGCATTATTTACATGGACACTATGAATGTTAAATATAAATGTCTTCGTGGTGAAATGAAATGTCTTATATTTTGGCATTTAGGAAATATATTCTATTTCAGACCTAACCTCAAGATTCAACAATACACCTAACGTAAGTCACTGATCATTATTGTCATGTTTGTTCTTGAAATATAGAGAGTATATGATGTCATATTGGTAAGGAAAATATTTTGAACTATGATGTCATTGTTTGCTAAATATAGAGGGGCTAAAATGAAATAAAGAAATGGAATACAAAATTTTTTATAACTAAACAAAAGCAAACCTGCAAGTGACTTGCTACATTTTCTCTAGTTAATCCGGGCACTTTCATGAGCTCAAGGATTTTCTTCGGAACAGCTCCTGGATAAAGTTTTCAGAAACGGAGATAGAAAGACTGCCCTTACAAACAATAATAATATATACAAGGCAAAGCAATGAAAACAACAGGAAAGGAGAAGAATGAGCAAAACTAGCCGGGAAGATCTTACTTTCCAGGCCGACACTTCTAATGGCTTCCAAGAAGCGGTTGTGAAGTGCATTTGTCCAAACGACCTTTGCCCTTTTTGGGGTGGCAGAATCGACATTGTCCTCTTCGTTGTTGTCATCATCATCCTTTCTCGGGCATTTTCTCTTAGGTTCCTTCTTAATTTGCCTGCCTTCATTCACTGATGATGTACACTCGGCATCCTCGTAGGAATCTTTGTCAACAGGGGAGTTTCCTTGAACAATCCCAGCTTCCTCGAGAATGGCTTTAGTTTTCTTCTTCGCTGCTGCATACTGCCATATATCTCTTAGGTCATCTGGGGATATCGGCTTCACTATGAAAAATGCAGCTCCACTCTCTAGGCCCTTTAACATAACCCCCTCTTTGTCATCAGCTGACATCACTGCATTAAACTCATACGATGGAACAAAAATTAGAAAGATTTTTTGGGTATGTACAAAAATTAGAATGATAATTTACAATCAGGAAATGATTTCCACAAGAACAAACGAAAATTAGAAAAGGGGGTATTCTAAAGATTGAATCAGACTCACAAACAACAGGCAACTTGAATTCTTCATCAATTTGTTGTTGTAATTCAAATCCATTCATATCAGGCATGTGCACATCTGATACAACAAGATCAAACGAGCCTCCCTTTATCCGAAGAGTGCACAAAGCATCGATTGGGTGTTTAACTGTCACAACTGGAATTTGGAAGAAATAATTTGTTAGCATTTTCAGAAACAATGCTAAGAACAAAGCCTAGCCCTAAGAAATTTTAATCAGAGTATCAATAGAGGCATATCAAAAAGGGGTTGTTAGACTTAGACAGCAATGGCATTTACCTATCAAAGAAGTTCAATAAAATATAAACATAAATAGAAACTAGGCCGAATGTCTCATACACCCATAAGACAGAACTATAGATAAACTGTAGAAAAGATGAGTTTGTGTGTGTGTGTGTGAGAGAGAGAGAGAGAGAGAGAGAGAAACAAGGAAGTGAAACACTTCCTATATTTAATCCATGAAATGAAGAAGGGGAACTCTGAAAAAAAAACTAATTACAAAAACAGTGCGACAAAAACTTCAATCTACTCAGAGCAAAGAGGGAAGAGGAAAATTGAGTTTTTTTTTTTATATTAATCTTCGATAAACCATACGATTCAAACCAATAAAATTCAAACTCTCTAATTTAATTTAGGATGAATTCTTACTTCTCACAGAAAAATGGCTGAAATGAAATGCAAGAAATCTCCCGGAATGAATCCAAAAGAAAACATTGCATGCAAAGCTTTTTCAATCAATCCACAGAAGAGGAAGAGCCATCATCAAGTTTCCAATAGTACCTTGGTATTTCCATTTTTTGAGTATCGCAGCAACAATAGCAAGACATGTTGTATCATCGTCCACAACCAAAATGCTGATTGTTTCAAGAGATTTTCCGGTCTCAGAAGAATGGCTAAGTGTAATTATCTTCCCGTCCATCCTTAATAGGCAATCGTTGACAACTCTCCAGGCAAGATATAATGATCAGAAGGACCCTGAGTCAACTGTAGATATACATGATGTAGATGACAGAAAGTCTTGCAAACAATTTCCCAGCTATACACACACACATACATATATATACATACACTTACATGTATATGTTTGTAGAGAGAGAGAGAGAGAGAGAACCTTTTAGGGAGTGTTTTACAGGTCAAAACCAGAGTCGGGAGTTCATACAAAACTAGTTATACAGCGGAAAAGCTTTGGATCCCTGCATTTTGAACTCATTAATGGCGAAATCTAGAGGGGAGACGACACATCGTAAGAGTTCATATGTGGAATACTTATTTAAGAAGATTTTAACGACTATAATATCTTCCTCAGATTTAATGCCTATTTCGAGTTTTTCTTTTCTCTTATTTTCTTTTTTGCTTACCATTTTCATAACTTAATGTAAGAGTTAATGTAATATCTTCCTTTGTTTAAGTGTTTTTTTAGATTTTTTTTTTTAAGTCAACGATTAAATTGTTCGAACCGATTTTTGCGTATCTCAAATTATTTATAAAATGAGTTTGTAGATCCAATTAAAATCAATGCATTTTACAATTGGAACGATTGGACTTTTATAGACTCACCTCCAACATCATTCATGCCGTCGACATAATTTCACTCCTTAATTGTCTTCGATGCTCTCTTTGTTTTTCTTCTCAGTTTGACAAAGTTGAACAGAAAATTTAATAATGTCAACTATTAAAATATTATTAAGGAGTAAAATTAGTTTCGTAAATAAGACAAATTTGTCGTATTTATAGATTAAAAAATATATTACACTATATAAAAATATCAAGAATAATGACAAAATTCCGTACAACTACATACATTTAACATAGAAATGTGGTTCATGTCGTAAGTTTTTTATTATTATATTTTATTTTCCAAATTTTAAACTTATGTTCTGACTTTTTTCATTTATACCACAACATTAGAATGATTATTCATTATGTTAACAACGACAGACAAATCTTTATATAAAAAAAAAGAAAAGATTTCAATTTTAAATTCCACTCCTACTTCTCAATTAAAAATATTCTCATGGAATAATAATAATAAAAACATAAATTAAGCAAAAAGGGGCCCACAGAAAAATATTGGTGTTCTGTTGTAATAAATGTGGCTTATCTCATAAATAGTAGCAATTAGTTTGAGATAATGAGTACACTTCGTACAGATCAGTCCATGATTAATTGGTAGAGACAAAAAGAAAAAGTCATATGGAACCAACCGTCCATCCTCATCCAAAACTCACGCTGTTCACACTACACACATTCTTATCTCGTCCAAACCAGATAATACTGTACTTCATCAAGTGAGTCTATTAAATTCACCTTTTTACTATTTACATCTATTAAGATTTTATTAAAATCCGATTAATTCTTGTTAGTTAATTATATCGCGTCATATTTTAATAAACTTAACGAACAACACAATGTTGGAATGAGATCACCTCCGATGTAATTTCTCTCAAATCTTATTAACAATAATATCATTTCTCATGAATTCAATTTGAAATTACCATGTAAAGGTGGATCTTCTACTAATCTATACTACTACTCCAAAAGTAGTAAAAGACCAAAATACCCTTAACAAAATAGTTAATGCCTATCCTATTTTTTTTTGACTCTCTCCGTTCTTAAATATATGTCGTTTTACACAATTTTTTTTGTTTCATAATATCTGTCCGTCGTTTTATGAAACCAAAACATAATAAATATTTTTTGTTCTAAATTTACCCTTATCTCTGTTTTTCAATAAGTATTTAATAGATTAAGTGTAGACTAAGTACCTTTCATATTTCTTTTCTTATCAATACGTATTGAATAAAGATATTTTAATTTTGTGCAATTATTTTTTACTCATAATAATAGAGTTATTTAATAGTTTCCTTAATGCCTGTACAAAAACTTTAAATGACAAATATTTAAGAACGGAGAGAGTAGTTAATAACATTATTAAATTATTTATGTACTATTGACACACTTATGTAGACCTTTGAATTGCTGGTTATTGGTTGTTATTTTATTCTAAAAAAAATTTGATGACTGTTTGGACTACTTATTTTAATTTGTTTATATCTAAACTACTATTAAAATCTATGTATACCTACGACTGTTTCTTAACCTCCCTATTTATTTTCCTCATTTTAAATAAACGTTTCATCTTTCCTTAGTAAATTATATTTTTCACTCTTACTGACCGGTTCATTTTTGTTTGAGAATTATTATCTTGCCGATGTAAATGTTAAGGGACTTGAACTCGCAATCCATGTGATCAGCTACTGGATAATTCAGTTGATCGGCTTCTACACGATGCAGAAGCTATCATATAGTGGATTTAATGGAGATTTTGTGTTTGGGTTATGTGTACTTATTTGAATTCAGTAGATGATTATAGTCGACCTGCTCTTTCTGTTGCGGCAATTTGCGGGCATATATGTTGAAGTGCTTAGATTTCCTATTGGGTTGGGAAGTGCTTTTGATGTTGTAGGCGATAAAGGATGGAGTTGCAGCTGATAGCTCTGTTGTTGAAGCCGTTGAATTATTATCGAATAATTCAGCGTATCTATTAGTTATATATTCTTGTTGAGAACCTTAACCTTCTGCTATGCACTTTTGTATTGGTTATATATAAGTACAATTTGGTACTATGGGGATTATGTTTTTCAGTTAAACAAGAGTAGATATAATAAGGTATTCAAAGTCGAAAAGTCTGGGAATTCTAATCTAATGTATTTTTCTCAATATTTGTCTTTTCATTGTAATTCTTATTGTATAGCTATCTGTGGTTAGGTTTTTGACATGATGGGATAGAGAAGCAAAAGAGATGGTTGCAATCAATATAGTCCAACAAAGCCTTTAAAGGAATGGTGACGCAGTCATAGTAGAAATTGATGTGCTTGAAGTTAGACATGACAAATATACTTTCTTCTATGTCCTCATATGTATCCGATTGTTCTTTTGCTTTTAGTTCAACCTTGCATGGGTGGTTAAGTGAGTGAGCCTATCTTTTGTATTTGTGTTTAATTAAGAAACTGGTTTGACTATTGTAGTGATATTTGTGTTCAATTACCAGAGTTTGTTTAGGTTGCTATCATCTCATGCTTAGGCTGTATTCCAGATAAAGATTCCTTTAGCCACATCCTTACTTTACAATTTACTCTGCATGTATTATCATGTTTTTTTCTCTAGCTCCATTCATCACAGTTGAGAGGGATGTTCCCAGTAGATAGAGGCCTGTTAGTTTTTCTCCCTTGCAGGTGCTGCAGAACCGCTGGCCATGGTTAGCTAATGAAGGATTCTTGGAGACAATGAAGTAAAAAAAAAATCAATACACCACATTAGCCAAAACGCAACTTGAATTTTCTTAGGATTGTGACACTCCATGCGACGAAGGAATTGCTCGGATATTGAGCTTTAAATTGTTATGCTATCAAATATGGGCTTATCCTACTTTTGTTTGATTTTTTATAATTCATTTTGCCTGTTTAGTTTCTATAGTTATGCATATTTGTTGAGAAATTTTCTCTCTTTAGACCATGATTAAAAGCCTAAGTTTGCATTATATTCCTTGTATTATTCAGTTGATTTACATTAGATGTTATCTCTTGATAGTATTGTTTTTTTTTTTTTAAAGAACTCAATGACATTTCACGACATCTTCACCACTTACCTCAAGAGAATTATATGTATTATGTCACTGGTTTGCACAGGTCCTAATGAACTGAAATTTAGAAATAAAGTACAAAAATGTAAATTTGTTAATGACAAACTAAAATGTTTAACCTGAGTCCATTATTTCTGTGTCAATATCTGTTGATTGCACTTGGTTATCATTGGGTGATTTATATTACTTTTAACTTTGATTTAATGTGAATTGAAACTGTTCCAGAGCACTTTAAGACCTATGTTGTTCAATACATACGTGCATATATAGCTATTGGGTTTTGGTCTTAATACGAGTATCTACATTATGATAATCACAGCAAGTCATTAAACACCTACACAAACATATAGTATAATATAAATCAGAAAAAAGCTATGGTAGTTTATGTGGATTTATGATAATCAAGGTTTTGGCAAACTCAGTTCCTAATCATAGTGAACATAGCTTTGCAGATAATTACTTGTTATCATTTAAAACTTGTATTATATTATATATGTGAATGTTTTAATAGAAATTCAGCCTCACCAAATCAGCCTACGAGTCCTATAATTTAAAATGGTGCACGTGTGCGCCAACTAGTACATTATAAGTGATGTCAAGTAAAATCCCGAAAAATGTATTGGAAGGGATCCGGATCCCACAATACCTTCCAGAGAAAGGAGAGCATATTCTTGTTTACTCTGCACCCAAGTCTTGAATGTATTTGATTTCAATTCAATCTCATGACTATGGCTAAGATGTAGTGTGTATATCCTAAAATCCAGTCTTCATCTGTTCAAATATCAGCCACAGTAGGATTCCAATTACAGTGTCCCTTGCCAAATTCCTGACAAGGAGACCTATCCAGCCATTGGAGCCATTCCCGGCACGCCATTTTCCGACAAGATCCTGAAACCGCAAGTTCCCCAGATCTGATACAAGTGCGTATATCACTCCATTCATATGGCCCTTGCCAATGACTCCCACCACTTTCGTACAGTTATTGACAGCTTTGCTCCGCTTCAGTGACCATGCAAGATACTGGAATAACAACATGCCAACAAGTAAGGAGAAGGCCAGAATCAGGCCACAAGAATTTAGCAATAGGAAAGCATCGTATGCATTTTCATCGATGTAATTGAACCACCACCAACAAGGATTATGAACGGGTGATTTTAGAATTTCAGAACAGTTAAATAATTTACACAGCTTCTCCTACGCCCTTGCTTGTTTCTTATCCCATCCTCTTCTATTAATGAGATGCAGCAACCGCCAATATAAGATCAATAATTTTTTGGTTCATGGTGATTATTCTGGTCAGAAGCAACTTACTGTGTCGCGCTCATGTACAAGGGGCTGCAGCAATGATGGACATGAAAAGCTTAGCTGCTCATATAGCTGGAAGTTGTTGACGTCGCTTTTTGATTCCTGCCACATTACATAGAAAAATCAATATTATGCTCCCGATGATCAGCAACATTCTTCATGTCTCTCTTCGGTCTCTTTGATTCTCTCTATAATTCTTCTCACGCTGCCTCCCTCTTTTTGCCTTTCAAAGCAGACTGTGCTGGTCACATTGTCAACTATGGCTGTCTTTATATGTTACCAAATATATATATATATATACGTTTATAACTTCTAAATAGGAACATGATCTGATATAGCCAAGAGTGATCATGCAAGAGTACAAGATCACTTGCTAAATTGGTTAGTTATCACTAAGCATCCAACTTCTTCCGAACAGGTCTTCTCAGTAACACTGGAGATATCGTGAAGGTTCATAAATATATATACAGATGACATAGCATCAGGACAGACGTGTAGATGTCAAGAAAACTCTAAAAAGTAGTAAACCTTCAAATTCTTCTTGGACAGATCAGATGATGATGTTATTCCACGAACAACAGAGATCACTATAGTCAGTTTCTCTTTCCATGTAAGACAATTCCAAGCCCTTTCAAGCTGAAAAAACAGGATACACAAAAATATATATTTTTCTTTCTTTAGGTTTCAAATCAAATTATCCGGCCATCCAACATACAGACAATGAAAATAAAAGTTCACAGTCCACAATTGCAAAACTCAGGAACCATTATGTTCACAATGAAAGAATAGGACACATCCACAAATTATCATTCTGGATTGATTACTTGGTCATAAGTGACAAGGGCCTCAATATACACAGTTACATACAGTGATTTCTATTGGCCGATCTCCCAAAACTATTTGAGCACCAACTTCTTCAGAAGCCTTTCGAGCAGCACGAAACTGCATATTTGGGGAACATTCTTTGTAAATTGACATAATTAGAATAAGAAGAATTCTTCTAGTTTTGCATAATATCCACAGATCCAAGGATTTGTTCCACAACATACAATGGTACTACCTCATCCCCAAAAGGAAGGTTGACATCTGAGGATATTTTTGAAGAGAAAAGTGCCAACAGTAGACGCAATGCTAGAGCGGTTTGACCCCCTTTCACATGAATGAAGAACAGTTAAACTTTGCTTTAAAAACACAGAATGGTATATATGAAGATTTAATAACCACCTAAATTTATGCTCCGCCCAATGGCACCAAAAAAACCAGTCCCAGTCAAAGAAAACATATTTGTCCTTAAGCGTTGGCTGATCTCACTGTCATTAGTAGTGTACATGATCCCAGCTCTGAAAATGAACGCTGTAACAAATGAAGTTAAGCCATGGATTGAAGATAGACCAACAATTATAACAAACATCCGTTCTCTTAAAACAATATATTTGAGCAGAATGCTTAATAAAAAACCATGAAAAGATCTAACATCATCCTCTGAAAAGTTTTCCAAGCGTTACAACACGCTTAGCCCATATATATTGTGTGGTTGTAGCTTCATAAAATGACAACATATGAGAAGCAACATTTTATTTTACATTTTTCATACCCATTTTCCACTGACTCTATTCAACTGCTTTGATCCTAACCACTTGGGTGGGAAGCACGTATTTAAGTTCCATGAGTGCTGCAAATGCCTAGAAAGAGCAGCCTTCCACAATCATAGAAATTTTATTCGTGCTGTGTTTTCCTTCCTTTCTGATGACTACTAAAACAATATACCCCCTCTCATACCAGGAAATGATATTAACCTCTAAAATACATTATTCAAAAGCATTTAACATACATGTTTCAAAATTGCTAAACACACCAGTTTAGGTACATAATATTTGAGCAGCACTAAAACCCCACATCCTCATTTAAAGACAAGCCAAGCTTTAGTTGGCAGTGAAGAAGCCAAGGTCAAAGCAATGCCCAAAAGATACCAATATAAGTTAATTTTCAATTATAACCCAACAAAGCCAAACCACACTTGCCTGCTTCTACAAAGCTCCACAACAACATTGTCCGGCCTCACGGCACGCACAACCCTTTCGACATCAATGGCCGAATCAAGAGAAATATGAGTCGTCCCAATCAACCAAATCTCCTCAGGCTCCACGAACTCGGTCCGCCAAATGGGTACAGGGCCAAATCGGCTCTTCTTCACAAGAACTAAGCTTCCATTATCAGCCAAATCGAGCAGTTCAGGATGGGTTTGAGTGATTGAGGCCCGAGAGTCACTGAGAATTTCGGATTTGAAGTCGAAGTCAGGTGGTGGAGGATTGATTGAAACTCTGTAGGATCTGGAGGTTCTTGTTGTGAGGAGAGCTGGAAGGTTGGGGCTGAATGAAAAATGGTGGAGGAGTTTAGGGTTCGTTCTGAAGATTGGGGATGGAGATTTTAGCGTGTTCATGCTTTTCGGCGAGCTTGGGTCTCGCATTACAGATAATGGAGCTTGAATTTAACGGCTATAAATTGAGAGTGCGTTTGCAAGTGGTAACCTGTGTGTGGGATCCGGCTCGTCTGCTGTTCACCACAAAACGGCACAGTTTTGTGCCCTTTTTGAAAAAATCATTCAGACCCACATCAAACGGTGTCGTTCGATTTTTCTTTTTCGGTCCAAATTCAAACCCTAAAATTACAGATCCAAAATGGCAGAGGAAGTCGAAGACCCAAAAATTCAAGCCCTACGCCGAATAGAGGAAGAATTTGACGATTCAGAGGCTACCGTCGGTGCGTTGAATTAAATGAGGGATTCCCACCACCAATAATAACCCATTGCTGCTCAAAAATGCCACCACATTTTGTTGTTGAAGTGGAGCCTATACCCCACCACCTCAGCCCATCTCTCTCTCTTTCAACCTTTGCTTGGTTAGTACACTTATTTTAGGACCTCCTTTTTTTACATCATTTCACTGTCATCTAACATTGCATGCTCTGTTATTTTCACTATAAAGCTTTAACCCACATACAGATAAAGTTGTCATTTCAGTGTGTTGGTGGTTAGGGGTGTTGTTTTAAGCAAAAACAAGTGAATTTTTTTTTTTAACTGAATAATAAATTAGAATAACAAGTGACATTTTTTTAATTGATATTTGAGAATTGTTAAGGTATCCTGCATGATTTTATTTTTTCCTAAACAGAATAGTTGCTTTCAAGCAATACTTCACTTGATCCCGATCTAATATAGAATGTGACAACATGTCAAACAGAATTGTCATTCTGTATTTGTTAAAATGTTTTCTATGTATTCAGTTCACATCGAAATATATTGATTTTCTTTGTCTTCTCTGAGTCAGAATTTTATATTGGAGAATTGACTACTCAAATGTTTCATCTGATTCTTCCCTTTTTTTTTTTTTTTTAATTTTGTTGGAGGAATCACATGTATTTTTTTCCACCAATTCTGTTTTCTAATCTTTTGCCTGATGTTGGAAGTTGTTTGTTTTAATAGTATCAAATTTGATGCAGTGAATCTACTATGGCCGAAAATAAAGTGCCAACAGTAGGTGCAGTTGATCATATTTCATCAGCCTCACATCCACCTTTTGGATATCAATTTGCTTGGTCAGGTATCAATGGCTGGTATTGTGAAGATGGGCAAGCTGCAAGGCCAGTCTTCTAGTGCGGCAAATGCACTTCACCAGAGTGTTTATTTAAATTGATAGTGTTTGGTTAATTTGTTGCTTTAAGGGGCATGTGGTTCAAATATGAGAATTTCCTGGTGCAGAGCAGCTGTTGTAGTTTTGTAGATTTAATAATGATCAAAGAAATCAACAAAACAATTGAAGATTCAAAATTTTAAAATTTAAATTTAGATCAAGAAAAATCCAACTAATAAAAATGTAAATTTGTGGGTGTGTATGTATATTCATATATATGTGTGTGTGTGTGTGTGTGTGTGTGTGTTTGTGTTTATACATATATTCACTTAAAAATATTCGAAATAGACATAAGAATACCTGAAATGGACGAAAGGAAACGAATCGCAAAACCAAGAATCGCAGTGCACCAAGAATCACAAAACCAAAGAATTAGTTTTTGTAGCCTGTAAGTGCGCCAAGAATGGCGCCAAAAGTTAACATGCTGTTTAAGGAGCAAAAAAAAGAAAAATCAAACGGCACCGTTTGATGTGGGTCTGAATGGTTTTTTAAAAAAGGCACAAAACTATGCCGTTTTGTGGTGAACAGTAGGGTCTGCTGTTCCTCCTGAACAGCAGACGAGCCGGATCCCCTGTGTGTGAGAGGGAGATGATAATGGAAAAAATATTTGATTATTTTTAATTATTATTATTGCTATAAAACAATTGATAATGAATGTTAATTTAAAACTCATTCCAAAAACAGTTTGTAATTATGCCCCTGATAGGGATATGCATGATTATGTCAGAATTCAGGTTTCAGTTCAATATATATCTAAGATCAGATGAATGAGCTGAACTCTCGTACATAGTTGTTCCTAACCCATGACCCCAGCTCAGGCCTCCTAGTTCATAATTTCAAACTCAAAAATTGTAAATTGGGATTCAACACTAATGAGACCCTTGTGCATACTACAACAACAATAGCTCACATCTTTTAAAAGGTTACGTCATGTTTAGAGAATATAGCCTCTAACTATAAAATATTTCATTATATGGGTCGTAACAACCCATGAGAATTCACATTGATTACGCAAGGACCATGCTCCGACACACTATAAATAGGAATCAATCCCTCATATTATAAAGGATCAAATACCTAAGAATTAACTTTCAAGGGCATTGTAATCGTCTCCTCTAAGCAGTAGAAAACTCCTCCAAGAACAAGAGACTCTATTAGAGTGAATTAGTCAAAATTTTAAACTGGTGAACTACTATAAACCCCATGTCTGCAGATTTTTATTCTATGTGATTATCCTTGTGTCTATTGTTTTACCATCGAGAGCCTAATAGCTTTGATTGAGTATTCTAGTGAATTCTATTAACATCCTTTACGAATTTCCAATTTATTTCCCCATTTTTTAGCCCTAAGCTCAACTACGCATTCGCGTAAATTACACCATCAAGTGTAATATCTCTTAATCATAAAAATCCACACACATGGGCTAACAACAAAGAAAAATATGCAATTTAAAAAATTCAAATTGATAAGAGACTTAATTCATTACCTATTTCAAAAATTAGTCTATTTTGTCACAAACTTTAACTTACATAAACTCCAGGGGTTGTTCAAGTGATAACATGGATGAACTGCAATCTTGACATCCCTGGAGATTAGTGTAATGCCCCAAAATCTACCATGGAAGACATTATTATTTATAAATCATTCAATTTTAAGAGCAACTAAAATAATCATTAAGACAATCAATCATTCATCCATATGATAAAGAATAAATACTAAAGTCAATAAAATATTATAATTTCTCCAACTTATAATTCAAAATCAATTAGTATCTAGCAGCGAAATAATTAAAACTACCTGAAATATTGTTTCGTAGAAATTTCTCAAATAAAATAATCTAAACCAAAATGAAACATCTCTAAGCCTCCACTTCAGGATCCTCATACTGACCCTCTCTAGTCTCGAGATCGATCTGTTCATCTAATTCGACATCTTCCTCTTTGTCAAAATCTGTAAATATGTTATAGAGATTAGCAAAAGCCCGTAGGAAATGTCTTTCAAATCCAAACAAGATTTTAAAACAATAAAAAAGAGGCAAGTCTCTTTTAAAAAATAGTAAATATATCGTTTTGAAAGTATAATAATGACAGTTATAATGATCTCAAGTGTACGAAAATACAATAATTCAATAAAACGAATAAACATGATAGAATTAAAGCAATCAATTAATAACTCAGTAACATCATCTCATATTCTTATGTATGTTGGTTGTTTCTTAGGAATTTACATAACGATTCTATTTCGTTCATACACCACAACCACATAATCTCAATCATTCTCCACAGGGTCAAATCACAAATCACAAATCACTTTAAAAAAGACGTAAACCGTCTCTCATGACATTGGCAAATTTTTTCCAAGAAAAGTATATTATCCCTTAATCTTAAATTTACGTGAACAATAGTGGTTGCTCTCATAAACAACAATTAACTACAAGTGTTAGGTAATCATCTCTCTCTCACTGAGATAGACTAACATCTAACACTCTACGACAGCTCTCGAAGACAATTCAAGTCCGTCACACTCAAACTATATAAGAGATGAAATCACAATTTTTCCAACAGCCGCAATCTTAATCAATTATAATTTTCATAAGAATTCAAGTATCATAATTTCACAATTCTCAATATACTACAGTAATAAAAGAATTAAAATATGAAAGAGATCATATTAAGAAAACCTTCACAATTTTGATATAATATTATAGGAATTTGCAAAAAATCATAATTTCTTGAAACAAGAACAAGTAATTGATTGAAAACGTAATTTAATCAAGGTCTTTCGCAATAAAACATGTGTTTTGAAAAAATTAGAGTTTTGAAAATTCAAGAACAATGTTTTTTTAACGCAAGGCATACATTTAGTTAAAAACAATATGTTATTCGAAAAGAAATAAAAAATGAACAGTAAAATAAACAAAAGAAACCTAGAACGAAAGATTTTTTAGCATATAATAATTTAGAAGATTTAAAATATACATAATTATACCTTAAGTATCAATGAAATAACTTGAGAACAATCTCTATCTTGATTCCGTAATTTGTGATGCAAACCTTAGCGTGTGTGAATCAATCTCAAAGCGAAAATCCTCCCCGTGTTTCATCTCTTTCTTCCTTTCAAGCTTTCTAGGGTCTTCTCGAATAAACAATTGCTAAGCATAGGCTTAAGGGTCGTTCCCTAGATATTTATAATGCCAAAAGTGGAGAAAATACTCAACACAGATTATCCAACTTTTGCTCGGTGCGTCTGGACACGTGTTTTTTCACTCTATATGTGTTTGAATTTTTGTCTAAACTTTCAATTAAATTTTGACCCAGTTATAAGCCAATTCATAAAATTTTCATCAAATACATTTTTTGTATCCCTTAAAGTCTAGTTTCTATTGTTAAAAAATTAACTCAATTGGACATTAGAGTAAAAAGTTATAACAAAAACACTAAGATTGTGTCAAATTTCTTTCTACTCAAATCATCTCTTGTTGTAAAAAATTGGATGCATCAAATTTAAAAATCTCTAAAACTTAATTTACCTTGAAAATCAATACGCTTGAAACTCAAACTTTATAATCAATCATTCAACAATAATTTTAAGTTTCTATCATAAATACATTAGCCTCGACGACCTATCTTTGATCGAATTGAAGAAAAAATTAGTCAAGATGTGTATAATCTTATTCGGACACTCTTAACATTTGAACTAAAAAAAAAAAACAAATTCTACCTATATAAGAAAAATCTTTTTTTACAAGAGTAATTAATGACTGCCGGTGGATGGCAAGAGTTTTGTTTGTCTTTAATTATGAAATAAACGTTTAAGTAGAGGTTGTAATTTTTGACACAACATGAAAACACGATTCGAACTTGATACGAAATTAGTGGGTTAAGATTGATTATTTCTCAATAGGTACCCGTAAATGATTCGACCTATTACCACGAATAATAAATGAGTTGGGTTAGTGTTAAACACGAACAACACAAAATTAACACGTTTAACTAATATTATAGAAATAAAATGCTAATTATTTGTTATTATTTATTAAGCATTGACATAATTATTGTACAAAAAAGATATTTTTATTAATTATTATTGTTATGTTTATTAAATTAAATTTTAATTTATAGAAAAAGTATGAGTATAAATTCAATTAATTGATAATAAAATCTTAGATATAAATCTTAAAGTTAAGTTTTTTATTCGAAATTTATATGAATCAACACGAACACGAACATGAACCCGACACAAAAATAAATTGGTCAATCTACATAACACAATTAATTTAAATAAGTTAAATTAGAATTAACTACTATTTGACACGAATTTAAAACGATACAATATTATTGCTACCCTACGTTTAAGGGATCATTGGGCTTTGTGATTGGTTTTTTTCCCAAAGAAAGATATATTTGGCAAGTGATAGATATATTTGTTATTAAGAGAGCGTTTGGTAATATTTTTATTTTTATATATATTTTTTAAAAAAAATAGAACAAATTTTTGTTTTTTCTGTGATAAAAATTAAAAATATAAATATGTTTGATAATTATTTATATTTAAAAAATTATAAAAATAAAAATAAAAATTATGTTTGATATTATAATAATATTTTTATAATTCATTGTGATTATTTTGATTAATTTTTTAATGCCCAAATACATCTTCACCCACTAAACCCAACCACCATTGCCGCCATCAATACCACAAAACACTCTGCACCACCACCCCTGTTTAGCCACCACCTAACCCACCTATTTACTCGCCACCAAAATCACCGAAAATCCACCACCACCACCACCACCACCTTTGTTTAGCCACCACCTAACCCACCTATTTACTCACCACCAAAATCACCGAAAATCCACCACCACCACCTTTGTTTAGCCACCACCCAACCTACCTATTTACCCACCACCAATAGTACCTAATTAGGGGTGTCTATGGGTCGGATTATCCAGCGCGAAAAAAATAGGTCTAATAGTTGGTCCGCCTGAGTCCGAGCTCAATATTCTTAAAAAGAGGGCTTAGTTTTGCCCTTAAACCCATTACCTGGACTGAAGCGTGACCCAAGAGCCCGCCCATCAAGTCCGCCCGCCAAGCCCAACCCGCCCACATAGCTCGCCTTCCATTCCTTTGAAAAAAATATTGTACTTTTAGACCATTAAATTTGAAACTTTAAAATAAGTCTCTCAATGTTGAAATTTTAAATTTTAAAAATTTAGATACTATAAAAAATATATTAATTTATTTTTCATTTATTAAGCATATCAGTTTTAAAGGGTATAATAAGATAAATGATAAATAATTGAATAGGTGTCAACCTAGTTGAAATATATTCATTCTATTGGATATAGTTCATCCCCTAATTAAAAATAAATTATTCATTATTTTATTTCTTTTCATTCTGACTTAATTTTTGATTTAAAAATATAATTTACACAAATAATAAGTTACAAAAATATTTATTATTTTTAAATAAAATTGTATATAAAAAGCCTGTGAGCAGGCCCGCTCAGAAAGCTTGCCCCTAGGCCCGCAGGTTGGGTTGTAGGTAGCCTACCTTTATCTGAAGTCCGGCCCTGCCGATAACTCACTTAAATAAAAGATTGGGCTTATACTACCCATGTCCGGGCAAAAAAAAATTTCTCAAGCCTAGTCCGACCCGGCCCATTGACACCCTTACACCTAACCCACCAATTTACCCACCACCAAAATCACTGAAAACTCACCACCACCACCCTTGTTTAGCTACCGCCCACCCCACCTATTTATCTACCACCAACACCTCTAAAAACCCATTACCAAAACCCACCAAAATTACCGAAAACCCACCACCACCACCCAACCCACCACCAACACTACTCAACCCACTTATGTATATAATAAACCCAAACTTTAATAAAATAATTCCACAGAGGGGTCAGAGAGAGAAAAGGATCGATGGAGATGGAGATGGAAAGAGTAGAAAATCTGACAAATCAGTGCTTCCTTCGCCGTAACTTCCTTTGTTGGGCTGAGTTGATCGTTGGAGCTTTCCTATACTAGCTTCACAAGAGAGACGAATGAGAGATACAAAATGGGGTTAAAAAAAGTCTTTTTATACGTGGAACAAGAAAAATATCTTTTGTGTTGTTAACGGGATTTGAAGACAAGACCTCATTAATTAGAGCAGAAGAGTGCGTAAATTTTTGATATCTCTTGTTTTTGAAAGCACCTAAATAGGTGTTTTCAAAAACGGGGTTGTTTACAAAGCAGATTGGCCAAAAAAAAAAAAATCACACCCTTAACATGTTTTGTTGTAAAAATTAAAGAGAAAAAAAAAAAACGAAAACAACTTGTTATCAACCGTAGCCAATTTTTTTTTTATTTCAAATGATGTGGTACTATTTTTATCATCAAATAAATAAATTTTATAAATATTTAATAAAAAAAATTATAATACATTATTTGAGATAAAAAATTTAATAAACATAACATTACTATTCCTCAAATCCCAGAGTGATGTACATAGCGTCATATCAAGATGATAATGACACCACTAAGATATGAAATGACAACACTAATATATGGAATTTGACTATAGTACTGAAATTCAAAATTTTGGTACTATATAGAAATTTATTATATTTGTGATAATTTTTATGAGTAATTTTATCACTGTTGTGTTATCTAAAAAAATAATAAAAGTATTTATCACAACAGTGATAAAAATATCTATAAATATTGTAAAAATATCCACAAAAGTGATAATTTTTTTGTACTTAAAAAACGTGATAAAAATAGTTATTATTAATATAGTAAAAAAAATTTATAACAGTGATAAAAATATTCACAAAAAATGATAAATTAACAATAAAAATAATAAAAATTTTGATTATAAAATAACTCATAAAAATATTTTTTAAAATGTATGGGACCAAAATCAAGTCCCTAAGATATGAACAACAAAACCAACTTCAGGGCAGTACGAAAACCTGTCAATGAAAGAAGCAAATGAAAGGGAGGACATCGTAGAAAAAACAGCTATTTGCTAGCTTGGCGCCCATTACGTGTTGTGTGCGCATTATGCCCAGCTCTAACCTATCCAAATATATAACACATCAAAGTTAACTGTTTAACCATCCAGGCCCACCTACCCTAGGAGTAGGGGGTGGGGGCGAGGGTCCGCGAATTGCCCACGCTATTGAACTCTAATTTGCTGTCCATTTAAATGGTCCAACAACTTTGCATATCCTATATATATCGATAGAATTAAGTACTATATATATAGATATATCTATGCTTTTTGAACCCTATCTTATTATGAATGGCCAATCCTGCTAACGTACGCCAAAATGACCCCAGACCCAAACCCTTAATATTAGGCCTTGACCCTCCCACTCCGTCAAATGACCAACCACTCAACCCCCTAATACTAGGCCCTGGAACTCCCAAGTCACCAGTCTCAAAGGACGACCAAGCACCAAACTCTTCTTTGCCAATCGTTTGTGAAGACCAGCTAACCAACCAACCACACCCACAACCGCAACCGCCCACACCCACCGTTCTCTCACCGTCTGTAAGCGGTGGAACATCGGGAAGACACCCGTACTATCGAGGAATCCGGTGGAGAAGCGGGAAATGGGTATCTGAAATACGTGAACCACGTAAAACAACGCGTATATGGCTTGGTACGTACCCGCAACCAGAAATGGCGGCAGCCGCCTATGATGTGGCGGCTTTAGCACTAAAAGGGGCCGACGCCACCCTTAACTTCCCGGATTTCGTTCTTTCGTATCCCATTCCGGCGTCTTCATCGGCAAGTGATATAAGGGCTGCAGCCGCAAGTGCAGCTGCCCTTAGAGCTCCAAGGCCCGAAGCTGGTGGACCAAGTGGGCCCGAAAAGGAGGAACCGGGGCAGCCAGAGGAGGTGGTGTTGAATACTGAAACATCGGGCCAGGAATTTATGGACGAGGAGGCACTGTTTGACATGCCGAATTTGCTGGTGGACATGGCAGAGGGTATGCTTGTAAGCCCGCCGAGGATGAAGTCACAGTCCTACGATGATTCGCCGGAGAATTCTGATGGAGAAAGTCTCTGGACCTATTCTTGAAGAAGGTCCCTCCATCATAAATTGATAGATGGTAAAAATAGAAGTAATAGTGCCATAGCTTCATTATTCAGTCTTTCTAGGTTACGTCAATCATGTCGGAATGGACCTTCCCAGTCCCCCCCGCCTTCCCCTCCTTTTCTTTTTTATTTTTTATTTTTTCAGTTTGCCGGGTTTGAATTATGAAGCTTGTTTTCTTTTTCTGTCTTTCCTTTCAATATTTTAGAGCTGATTGGGTTGCTTAGATTTCAAGTTACCAAGTTATATGAAAGGTAGTGAGTTTTGCTATAAGGTTGCTAGTTCTACGAATGCTGAATGAAGTAATTTTTCCGAATACTATTGTATATTTTTTCAGTTTTTATATTATTTTTTTTTTTGAAAATTAGGATACGAGTGTTAATCAAGCTGAACTACTTAAGTTCGATTCAGATAAAATTTAGTTCAATTTTAATTTATGTTTTAAACGAACTGAACTTGAACATTTTTTTTAATTTATTTAGAAAAATAAATTTAAAATACTCAACTTAAGCTCATAAAGGTAGACTCATTTATATGTAAATAATTATTTATTCTCGGCTTGAGTTTTAAACGATTCGAGCTTAAATAAATTTTTAAATTTATTTAAAAAAATAAATTCATTAAACTCGAATTTAAATTCATAAAACTCGACTTAACCTAGGAGGCACTATTTTGTTAACTTTCTGTACTTTATTGCCAAAAAATAGTGAATTTTTACAATTGTTTTTTTTTGAACCGGCAGTTTTGACATGTTCGAAGCTCACATCCTTAAAATTTTTGCTGCCCTTATCAGGCTGATGGACAATGGGGAATGATGGAACCAAAGCAAGCTTCTCAGACCCCTCTATATGTATATGGACAAGTCTACGGTACCAATTTAATATGTACCGATATTTATTATTTTTATAAATATTTTTATAAGTATTAATTTTTTATTATTATTGTAGTTACTTTTATTAATTTTGTGGTACTTGTAATCAATCATAGAAATTGTAAGATTGATCGTAAGTACTATAAAAGTGGTAAAAACAGTATTCATAAAAGTGATAAAAATACCTATAAAAATAATATAACTTTTTTGTAAAAACAACAATTAAAGTAATAAAATTTGTTAGCACGTTACCGAATTTTTTTTGTTACCATAGTCAAGTCCTATATATCTATTTGTATATATTAGTAATGCACGATGTGCATCATAAGCGAATATATTTTTGAATAATTTTTTTTATAAAAAATTTGAAGTTATATGTGTAATTAAATTGAATAATAAAATGTGTAGTTTTAAGTAATTTTTATTTGAATTATTATCAAACCTTAATTATTAATCTATTCTAACCCTATTTGATTATATGCTTATGTCTCTCTTCTTGTTTATAATAAATCTTTATTATAAAATTGTTATTATTAAATATTTGCACATTTTATTATATTATATTTTTTATCAAAGAAATTAATTAAATTATAATATTATTTTTTGTATTGTAAAGGCAGAAGGGGCTCTTGCTTCAAAAAAAAAATCATGTTGCACGCTTTGGAGCGAAAAATTTTGTAGATAACGCTCATGCTCGTGCTGACCGCGCGTTAGGCGACGACATCACCAAAAGGAAAGACCACAAGACTGGGACTGGCGCGAGGCAGTAAGCTACGATGTCGTGTTATGATCTTGTGTGACGATTTCCGATAACACATTCGAACGATTGTCACTTATTTGATTGAACTTCGTATCTAAGGCACTTGTTCCGATTCAATATAATATTATTTTATATCAAAAAATCTACTATAACATATATTAGACTGTAAAATAATAGAATATAAATTTAACTTTAGTTTTTATATAAATATAGACATAGATATAAAAACGGTATGCAAATGTACTATTAATAAATGAGTTTAAAAATATTTAAAAATCATATACAATTAATAAAAGAGTTTAAAAACACTTAAAAGTCAAATATGTATAAGAAATAAAAATTGAATAATAGTAATATATAATTTAGAAATCAAATACTATTAATAAAAGAGTTTAAAAGAATTTAAAAATCAAATAGGTATTGAAAATACAAATTAGAGGAAAATATTATATGGGTATCATTGACTTGATAGGAAAAATTAAGGATAAATTAAAAATTAAAAGTTTTTCATAAACACTAACATCTATAAGTAATATAGATATAAATATACTAGTTTTTTTTGTGCATGAAAGCATGAAGTAATAAGAAAAATTGTCAATAATAAACATATTTGTATTCGCATTCAAAACTAAATCACAAACATAGAGGAGAGAGGACAAAATTTAAACACCAGTTGTAATAGGGGTGAGCGGTGGTGAGTGGCAGTGGAGGTGGTAGGAGACGGTGATAGTTGTGGTGGGTGATGATGACCGTGGTAGTAATGGCAGTCGTGTGTGACAACAATGATAGTGGTGGATTTTGAATGACGATGATGATAGTGGTAGCCATGGGTGACGGTAGTGGTGGTGATGGGTGTGAGTGGTGGTGGGTGATGGTGATGATGGTTGTCAGTGGTAGTGGTGGGTGACAGTGGCTAGCGACGATGATGGGCGACAACGGATGGTGGTGGGTCATGACAGTGAATAGTGGCGGGTATTGCAAGTGGGCGACATGATAGTGGAATGATATTGTTAATTATAATAAATATAAAAATGAGATAACGATGATGATAGGTGATAGTAATTGGTGTGGGGGTGATAGTGGGACAGTGACGGTGGTGGTGNCAAAAGGAAAGACCACAAGACTGGGACTGGCGCGAGGCAGTAAGCTACGATGTCGTGTTATGATCTTGTGTGACGATTTCCGATAACACATTCGAACGATTGTCACTTATTTGATTGAACTTCGTATCTAAGGCACTTGTTCCGATTCAATATAATATTATTTTATATCAAAAAATCTACTATAACATATATTAGACTGTAAAATAATAGAATATAAATTTAACTTTAGTTTTTATATAAATATAGACATAGATATAAAAACGGTATGCAAATGTACTATTAATAAATGAGTTTAAAAATATTTAAAAATCATATACAATTAATAAAAGAGTTTAAAAACACTTAAAAGTCAAATATGTATAAGAAATAAAAATTGAATAATAGTAATATATAATTTAGAAATCAAATACTATTAATAAAAGAGTTTAAAAGAATTTAAAAATCAAATAGGTATTGAAAATACAAATTAGAGGAAAATATTATATGGGTATCATTGACTTGATAGGAAAAATTAAGGATAAATTAAAAATTAAAAGTTTTTCATAAACACTAACATCTATAAGTAATATAGATATAAATATACTAGTTTTTTTTGTGCATGAAAGCATGAAGTAATAAGAAAAATTGTCAATAATAAACATATTTGTATTCGCATTCAAAACTAAATCACAAACATAGAGGAGAGAGGACAAAATTTAAACACCAGTTGTAATAGGGGTGAGCGGTGGTGAGTGGCAGTGGAGGTGGTAGGAGACGGTGATAGTTGTGGTGGGTGATGATGACCGTGGTAGTAATGGCAGTCGTGTGTGACAACAATGATAGTGGTGGATTTTGAATGACGATGATGATAGTGGTAGCCATGGGTGACGGTAGTGGTGGTGATGGGTGTGAGTGGTGGTGGGTGATGGTGATGATGGTTGTCAGTGGTAGTGGTGGGTGACAGTGGCTAGCGACGATGATGGGCGACAACGGATGGTGGTGGGTCATGACAGTGAATAGTGGCGGGTATTGCAAGTGGGCGACATGATAGTGGAATGATATTGTTAATTATAATAAATATAAAAATGAGATAACGATGATGATAGGTGATAGTAATTGGTGTGGGGGTGATAGTGGGACAGTGACGGTGGTGGTGGGGATGACGACCATAGTGGGGTGACAGTGGAGATAGTGGTGGTAGTGGTCGTGGGGGTGGGGGTGGTAGAGATGATGGTAAGACAATGGTGGCGGTGGTAGGGTAACGACAGTGATGATGGTGATTGTTGTGGTGGTGGTGAGACGGTGGAGGTTGTGGTCAGAATGATGATGGTGGAGGCAACAATGGTGATTGTAGTGGTGGTGGGGGTAATGGTGGTGGTGGTGAGGGTAGGGTAGTGGCAACGGTGGTGGTGGTAGGGAGGTGGGGGTGGAGGTAATGAGGTGGCGACAATAGTGGTAGTGGTGGTGGTAGTATAATTTCAAATATTATTTTTTTTAAAAGTAATTATAAGAAATTATAAGTTTTAGAGACACATTTAAAAAATCACATAAAATACACCTTTTTTTTATTATTAAATTTGAGGTGTTAATATTAGCCGTCGAATTAACTTTAAAGTAAAATTTAAATAAATCTCAACCGACCAGGTGACTGTTGCATTGAATATTAACTCCGCATTCACACAATCGATATCTTAACAAAATATTCTTTTCATTATAAAATATTATTTTCTTATCATTAAAATCTTCTCTTGGTATATGAAAATATAATAAAATAACATGACTTTAAAAATTTTACCCAAGTTAGAATTATAAACAAAAAAGTTCTGCCAATACAACATAATTCTCGGTTATCAAGACAAAAAATATTTTATCTTTCCTAATATTTCTAAATCTCGATAAATTAATTCAAAAGTCCCAAGTTAATTAGAATACAAAGCCTTCGACAACACACAAAGAGTCTGCATATTAGGAATTATAGAAGGCAAAGGAGTTTCGCAAGCAAACCACTGTTTAGTATCGAATAATATAGATAATATTTATAGTTTAGAGAAGTGCGTTAAGCAATATATTTAGGCATAAACAGTTTTTAAATGTTTGTCTCCAATTAGGAAGAATAAATTTATGATGTGATTATTTTTTAGTTAAAATTTGACTAAATTTGTGTCTAATTGGTGATATATAACTTACGATATTTGCTTATTTTTATGTAAAATTCATTGAAATAAATATCAATATGTCATTACTTAATTGTTGTTTTAGGTGCTCTAAACATTTGGCATATAGGTTTTTTTTTTACTTATTTCTATGTTCAATCAAACACAAATTGGTTACAATTTTTTAACATGAATTATTTTTGCTCAAGTTCTTTCGAAAATAAGTTGTATAATGTTTTTTCTATCCTTTATAATTGTGTAATTTTATGAAATTATTTAATTGATGTTAGCATGTTTTGTATAATTTTAGATGGGAAATCCTTATGCAATTGATGCATTTTTTAAGAGAAAAATTATTGCAAATTTGAAATATTGTCAAAAATAAACTTTACAACAAGATGAAAAATGATTTTCATGTAGACTTTTTAATTGTGTACCTACAAAAGGAGA